ATGTTTGGTTCATTATATTGGCAACATAGCCAGTCACGTTGCCAGGAATTGAACTCGGGTCTCCTGGGTGAAAGCCAGATATCCTAACCGCTGGACGACAACGGAACGCTTCCATGGATCATCTGTTGAAAATCATCTTATTATATATGGAACTCCAACTATATTATTATATATTGATTATATTCACTACATTGTCTATTATCTTTTTTGTGCACTACTTTTTTAATTAAATATCAAAGTTATAATACAAAATAATGCTATATATATATTTACCAAGTATTTTATTAATACCATGAAAAAATTAAAAAAAAATATAATTACTAAAGTCAATCATATTAATTACTTGAGGGATTTGTTGACAAAGAGAGTATTCAAATCACACAACAAATTGAATTGAGAACTATCTCGCAATATTCTTGTTTGACAATCAGCAGTTAGCAGTTAGCGTTAGCAGATTTGACCAGCGAATTATATCAACGGTTGGTAAAAAGATATTTAATAATAATAATAATAATAATAATAATAATAATTATTATTATTATTATTATTATTATTATTATTAATATTATTATTATTATTATTATTATTGTTTTAAATAAAAAAAAATATGATTAAATCAATCATATTAACTACTTGGGGGATTTATTAACAAAAAGAGTATTCAAATCACACAACAAATTGAAGTGAGAACTAGCTCGCACTGTCCTTGTTTGACAATCAGCAGTTAGCGGTTAGCGTTAGTGGATTATATTAGCAGATTTGACCATCGAATTATATCAATGGTTGGTAAAAAGATATTTGAAAATATTAGATGTTTAGATTAACATGTAAAATGACCTAAGGGTATAATAATAATAATAATAATAATAATAATAATAATAATAATAATAATAATAATAATAATAATAATAATAATAATAATAATAATAATAATAATAATAATAATAATAATAATAATAATAATAATAATAATAATAATAATAATTGTTTTAAAAAAATAAAAAATATAATTAAGTCAATCATATTAACTACTTGGGGGATTTATTAACAAAAAGAGTATTCAAATCACACAACAAATTGAAGTGGGAAACTACCTCGCAATGTCATTGTTTGACAATCAGCAGTTAGCTCTTCAACATTAGTATATATTTAATATTTTATGCCCTAATTTTTATTTGCTCCTCCTTATGTCCCGTATTTGGTTTCAACCATACCTATACAATTATTTTATTGACAATTATAATCAATCTTGACTATATTATCTTGCATTTGTAAACTTAGAATTACCTATTTAAATACGCAAATTCAACATGCATAGAACAATTCCAATATAATCTTGCCTTGATATACTTTAAAGTACTTATTTAAAAAAAAAAATATTTGGCATTATCCCAATCGGGCAATGCGCGTAAAAAGCTAGTAATTTAATAAAAGTAAAATAGAGTACTAATTATGTCATCTTTGATTGGGATGGGGTTCGAACCTAAGACCTTTCTTATTAAAATCAATGAATAGGTTAACGGTGAACTAACAGAAATTAACGGAAAAGATAATATTTAACAGAAAAGTTAACGGATAATCATATTCATTAAGGATAAATTAGGAAATCTTAAGGAAAAATTAAAATCTAATCAATCTGAGCCATTCATTTGATTAAAAAATTTGACCGTCATTTTTTATACCTATTATAGGCCTAACTCCCTTGGTTCTTATTATTAGTATTAGTATATAAGTATAGTAGATTTTCATTTTAAAATTTACATAACTAGATTGGACCAAGATTTTTTTTTATTGTTTGGCTTGACTTGCTCAAACTCATATTTAATATGAAATTGATAGCTGTAATGACTCTGCACTAAAGAAATTGAGGAAAAATGTTTTTTTTTTTTTAACTTGTGGGTCGAGTCAAGATTTGTTTTTTTGAGTTCAGCCTAGTCCAATTTATATTTTAATTGATCATGGTAAATGTGATAAGTCTAAACTAAAGAAATTGAAAAAATAAATATTTTTTAATCTTTTGGGTTATAGGCCAGGCAACGTAGATTTTTATTATTTAGCCCAGTCTGATCAGACCCATATTTGTACAGACTAGCCGAATCTAATTTAAATAATAATCAAATATAAGGTCGATTAACTCGTTTATTTGACATCACTCAAACTGAGAGAAAGAGAGAAAACTAAGAACGAGATAATCTACTCCGGTCTTTCCCTTTTCGCATCAAGGGTTGATGGGGTGTGCACACCCCTACAACCCCAGAATGCGTAATGGGCGGCCAGGGGTGTGCATTCGGTGGGGTGTGCAACTTGGACATTTATGTGCATTATCGACATCCCCACAGTGCGTGTCGGGAAGGATGGGGTGTTTGTTTACCGATAACGGAATCATTCATACTGCATATTCACTACTATTCCTAATTTGTTAATCGTGTTAATCACTAACAATGTTCTTATGCAGCTCAATACCCATGTCAGGAGACTAATGTTTGCAATGAAATTAATGTTATACCGTCTAGGACTAGTTATTGGGTGCCAACATGCAATGGAGAAATAAGCATGGTGAAGCCCTTCTTGAAGATCAACCGAAACCTTAATGTTGCACACTATTGGTCCCGGTTGGGTCGAAAGAGAGTCTAGAGAGAGAGAAGGGGGGGGGGGGGGGGGGGGAAGGTGAATAGACTCTACTCGAATTTTTGAAAACCACTCTCGGGGAGTAATGCACAGCGGAAAATGTGAGTTCGTTTTAGAGTATTCTTTGCACGTTTTTTATATGAAAAATTAGGGTTTGATTAGTATGTATGCAATGTAGGGAAGATAAATAACCGAAAGTAAAAAGAGAGTGAGAGAGAGAGAGATTTTTATAGTGGTTAAGCTATTAACGAAGCCTACTCCACTATCATTTCACAACTCGTGAAAGGGTTTGCACTATCACTCCAAGTACAAACAAAACAAGCTAGCTTCCTTGATCACTAAGTCGGACAGCTACTTACACAGGTTTTTCAACTACTAGAGTTTACTCCGCCTCTATCAACGTCTTCTTCTGAGTTGAGGGTTGGAAAGAAATAACAATGTTTTCCAACTTGTGAAATCTTGACTTGATGTTGCTTGAATCTTCAAATATACGTTGCAAGATTTCATTGTGTTGTGAAGACTTGAAGTATTGATGATCCTTTTTGAAAAGATTTCACAACTACACACTGGTTTTGAAAAGTTTTAGAATAATACTTGTTGAAGAGCTTTTCTAGATTGAGATTGAGTGATAAAAACCATCACCTTCTTCAGTGGTGAAGAGAGGTATTTATAGGTGAGGAAAATCCATCCGTTAGAGGGAAATGAAGTTTCAAACCTATTAACCAGCGTGTAAAAACCACTAGGCTTGGAGTATTTAATGCGGCTGTACTGTGTAACCGTTGACAACAAAAAGTTGTTTGTCTTTTTGTCCTTTCTCACTGACAAAGGTACAAATCATTTAATGCTCCTTGGTTTTTGAAAATCTCATTCCTAGGACACCATTTGTCTATGATGATTCACCTAGCAAAGAGACTTAGACAAATATGCTTCTAGTAGCATGTGAATTTTGTCTAATCAAGTCAGGCTTTTGACTTGTAGTCTCGGGTTATGCAATAACGAAAGATTGACCTTATCTTTCGTTAGGATCTTCATACATGAGAGATGGACCCTTCCATAACTTTCGGTCGCAATTGATCTATCGGTCTTCTCTTGATCTTCTCTTCTTCAAGTAGATCTAACTTAAAAACAACTCTGATTCGTGTAACTATACCGTTAAGCACGAATCACAATGTAAGTTGTAATTACTTTCGTCTAGCACGAAAGGTGTAAAATAACAAGAGTAAAATAGGGGTCTACATTCCGTGTTAGTTTCACGGATGCACAACATAACGCTCCCTTAGATGTACCATATTTTAATTCATGGTGCTAGGTGAACAATCAGTGGAGCGTTATGCTGTGCATCCGTGTGCACCATGCATGGTGCACACGGATGCAAAAACGACGTCATTTTGACGTCGACTTAAAAAAAAAATTCATAACTTCATAACTATACATCCAGAATTGCATAACTACACATCCATAACTTCATAACTATACATCCAGAATTGCATAATTATACATCCATAACTTCATAACTACAAATCCAGAATTGCATGCATAACTACACATCTATAACTTCATAACTATAAATCCAGAACTGTTTTTTTTTTTTTTTAAAGTGGGCCGCGCATTTTTACATCCGTGTGCACCATGCATGATGCACACAGATACACATCATAATTTGCCCAATGTTAGTACATGGGTCTATTTGACGGATAGTTATGCTGTGCATCCGTATGCACCATGCATGGTGCATACGGATGCCAAAACGACGTCGTTTTATTAAAAACCGCGCGTCTCTCCTTTTAAAAAAATTCAGGTTCGATTCCCAGCAACAACATTATATTGTTCATTCATTCTGGAATTTTAGTTCATAGATTATGGAATTATAGTTCATTGATTATGGAATTATAGTTCATCGATTCTGGAATTGTAGTTCATCGATTCTGAAATTTTAGTTCATAGATTATGGAATTTTAGTTCACTCATTCTGGAATTTTTAGTTCATAGATTAGATTCTGAAATTATAGTTCATCGATTATGAAATTTTAGTTCATTGATTCTGGAATTTTAGTTCATATGTTGTTGTTGGGAATCGAACCTGATTTTATTTTTTTAAGAGGAGACGCGCATTTTTTTAAAACGACGTCGTTTTTGCATCCGTATGCACCATGATGCATAGCATAATTCGCCCTTCTGCTTAAAAAAATTCTGATAGCATAATTCGCCCTTCTGCTTAAAAAAATTCTGATTTTTTGTTATATGGGCCGAACTGGAGATCCAGTAAATTGGGTCTTATATTGGAAACCCATTAGACAAACGGATAACAATCAGGCAAGCGGATACCTAAAGCCCTAAGCTACAGAGCTCGAAATATCTCACCATATATACAAACTCAGAGAGTCTATGGACATACAAATACAATCGTGTTTCCCGATTCTCGCTTCTCACAATCTCACACTCTCCTAGAAAGGCCTCTCTTTTACACGTTGCACCGCTTTCGTTAGGGTTTTCAGGAACGTCCGGATCGCAATGGCGGATGAGGAGGTAGTGGTGGCAGCGACATCGGTGGCGAACTCCGATAGTCTCAAACGGAAGCTTGAGGATTTGGAGCAATCCGCTCCAGGTGAGTCGCTATTGAAGAAGGAGGAGGCCGAGCCAGATTCGGTCAATAAAGCCGACGAGGAAGAGGTGGAGGGCGGTGAAGGTGAAGATGAAGCTCAAGCTGATGGGTCTGAAGCTAAACGACCTCGTCTTGAGGAGAAAACCGATGAATTAGGTATTTTAGTGATTTTCCCTTCTCCTCTGGAACTCAAAGCTATGCGGTTATTTGTTATGCATATATTCTGGCTTGTGTTCTACTTCGCAAATGTGCACATGTATTTTCTTAATATACATGGCATTTTAAAGGGAAATTATATTTCACTTATCTTGCGTGTTGTATCAAATATCAATAGAGCACATGGATATACATTAGGTTTATTTATTGCTCACTGTTTGAGTTCTTTTACATAGTGGTGGTTTCATTAAAAAAATAGCAGCTTGCTTCTTTACATATTTCATCTAAAAAGAAAAAAAAGTATAAGCTGGGTTATCTACATGACATTAGCTTGTAATGCTATATTTCTGCATAAATTCCATTTTCAGGTGCTGAGAATGGACATACAGAGGAGAAGAATGGGGATGAGTCAAAAGAGGATGATACTGAAGAGAAGCCAGATGGTTTGGATAATAATGAACAGTTGGATAATGGCCAAGGAGTGGAGAATGATGCTCCCAAGACCACCATCAGTGAACAACCTGCTCCAATTGATGATTTGCAAACAGAGAAACCTCAGACTGAAAATGTTCCAGAAGAACCACCTGCTCCAATTGATGATTTGCAAACAGAGAAACCTCAGACTGACAATGTTCCAGAAGAACCATCTAAAGGTGAAGATCAGGAACCATCTACTACTGATATCCCTCAACAAGGAGATGCTCCTAATGAGCAAGAGAATAGAGCATCAGACACCCAATCAATGTCACGCAAAATGGAGGTCCCTAATAATAAGGTTCAAGGATAAAGCACCCTGATTTTTTGCAAATGATCAAGTATGTCTCACTGTGCAGAAATATCTAATGGTTGTCTTTGCCTCATTTCGTGGTTGGACAGGTTGGTGTACTTATTGGCAAGGGTGGGGAAACTATTCGACATCTGCAATACAATTCTGGTGCCAAAATTCAAATCACACGTGATGCTGATTCTGACCCTCGTTCCTCAACTAGGTCTGTTGAACTAATTGGAACTTTGGAAAATATAGAGAAGGCTGAGAAATTGATAAAGGATGTCATAACTGAGGTCTGTGTCCGACTTTTATCATCTGTATAGCTTATGCTGCTTACTGTAGTTCTACTTTTTTGCTTCTTCCCATTTCTGTGTGATATCATTTTTGGATGTTTAACTAAATTTCTTCTCTAGGCTGATGCTGGAGGATCTCCTTCCCTTGTGGCTAAGGGCTTCAACCCTGTGCAATCTGTTATTGGAGATCAAATTGAGATGCAAGTTCCAAATGAGAAGGTTTGCTTTCGTTGTTCCTTCAAATCTTTTTTTTTTTTTTTCATCTTTTTTGTTCCCTCCCCTTTATTATTATTATTATTATTATTATTTTTATTTTTATTTTTTTAAATTTGCCTGGTATAGTAGTGCATAATTGAATGTTTTTATTTTTATTGGTCCAGGTTGGTTTAATTATTGGAAAAGGTGGAGAAACTATCAAGAGCCTCCAGACCAGATCAGGAGCACGCATTCAGGTAGTGTATACTGACTATGAGGTGATAAATTTTTCATACAAAGTTCTAAAACTGATGTTTTATCTTTCTATTTCTTTTAGCTGGTGCAACTTCCTGAAGGAGAACAATCAAAAGAAAGAACTGTGAGAGTGACTGGTGATAGAAAGCAGATTGAGCGGGCTAGAGAAATGATTCAAGAAGTCATGGATCAGGTTTGTATTCATTATCAATCCTGTTGTTTAAATACTTCATGTTTGGTGTAACAAATTTTACTGTTGATATTTGAATGCAAAGCATGATTCTTCTTATGTAGTTTTTTTTTTTTTCCCTTCTATATTCTTCCCCTTTTTAATTTGTATACCAAGATCTAATCATTTGGCATGCATATTGTGAGTATATGACTTGTTATGTCAATATTGATCAAGTTTGAATTCTGGTTTTTTGGGTTAAGTTCGAATGAAAATTCTCATCTAAGGCACTCTGTTTGTGCTCTTTGTGAATCTTACAACATGGAAGGATACTTAACTGTTACCTTCACCACTTTTTTTTGGCAATTTATATGCTTTGATTTATTTATGTACAAGATCATATGATGTATCATAATTAGATATAAGAAATTGAAATGTCTCTTTGTGTTCAAAGGGAGGTTGTATGGTATCCCAAATCTTTGAAGGTTTTTTTTTTTTTGCTTAGATAGGGTCTTAGATTTTTCTAGTGTCATGACTCGTGACTTTATAGCTTAATGCATCTGCTCACTTTGCTAGATCTTTACTGTTTGAGCATATGTGCTGAAATAGAGATGTATTAAATTGCATGTACTTGTAGACATTACTTTATTTGGGTTGCAGCTGTTCATGAGTTGGAAAAATATCCCCAATTAGGCGCCAGAGATTTTTCTATTCTTGAAAATTTTTATAAGCATCTTCTTGCCAAGGTCACTTGAATGCAGTTAAGGTGGTCTTATATTGAAATGAGATGTCGGTTGCCATGATGTTTTTCATGTTAAAGGTGCCAATTCCAGCTGGTTGGCTTTAAAAATGCAGATTTGGATTTTGCTTTTCACATCAGGTCAGCATTGCCTTCTTCGTGTAGCAATAGACAACTACTATTCACTCTCATCCACAGAAGAGAGGTATCAAGCATTAGTCCCCCCACAATAGCAGGCTGTGTATAGTTGGTAAGATTGCTTTGTGACCTAACCCCAAAATAATAGTGGTATTAAAGACTACGTTATACTAACCTGGGTGTTCTTTGGTATACACCGTGTTCTGTGCACAAGTCATGTTACAGAATGTGTCCTCACTAGCTAAATTGTCCTTCATGTTGTTCCAATCCATATAATCCATATATTGAATTGTGCTGATGTTATCTTGGAGAACTAGAAGATATGACACTTTACCTATTTACCTATTGATTTGCTAAGAGCTTGCTGTCTGCTGTTCGGAAATAACAATGTGAGCGCTGAATGATTGTCATATTAGTGAAGGTTATTTGAAAAGCTAATTATAATTTATGTAGATTTAAAAAATGAATGGTCTTCTGCTTGTAATGAAGACTTTCATTGATTGGTAGGAGTGCTAGGTTAGTGGTTTTATCTCTTCATTCTGTGTCCCATCCTACTGTTATGAACTTTGAAACAACAGAAAAGATAAACATACATTACTCTTCTTTCCCCATGCAAACTGAATCCTATCTCATTTCTCTTGCTGGATTTTTGCTTAGTTCGTTGCCTGAAGTTGCTTATGCGAATGGATTTATAATATTGGATTAGTTCATTCTGGCACATCTTACGGTATAGCTGTTGACAGCCTGATATATCTTTCTTTTGGGGAGGAAGGTAGGGTTCATGAATATGGAAACATTATTATTTTTAGTAGCAAGTATTATTTGTGGCTTAGTATCAGGTTAAACTTTGGGCTTATACATTCTATTTTATATACATCCTTTTTGTTTGAGATACTTGTGAACATTTAGTACGGAGTAGTAATTTATGCATAGGCACTGTGTTGTGAATTCTGGTTATTGCTGCTCTTTTTACCCCATTCTTTCTGCTAAGTGGATGAATGATAACATGTCCAAAGCATGCCACCTTCATTTGTTGCTGTTTTGATTATTATTACAACTTGATGGTTTTCACTGTTCATTTTTATATCAGTTTTGACAGTTTCTGCATGTACTTTGTTTTCTAAGAACCAAGATTAATTGCTACCTTCTGTATTGCATGATATAGCAAACAAAGGTTTCTTTGAAGATATTTTAAATTAAATTTAGTATTTCTCTCTTTATTTTGAGTAAGCTCTATGCTAACTTGGCGTTATCTTCTAATTGCTTCTTTAGCATGTAAGATCATCTCCTCACTCTATGGGGTATAGTCAGCAGACCTTTCGCCCACGTGGACCTGTTGCCCCACAGTGGGGACCACATGGTCCTCATTCCGTACAGCATCCGGGGTATGACTACCGACAGAGAGGACCTTATCCGTCTCATAGTCCACAATACCCTGCCCCAGCATATGGTAATTATCCTCCACAGCCGGCACCTAGAAGTGGCTTTGGACCAAGTTGGGAGCAAAGGCCACCTATGCAGGGGCCTCCACCTCAGGTTGGTTGGTTCTTTGATTATTGGCAAATTGGTCTTATTGCCGTGTGCATAAGCAATTGAGCTCACCTATGAGCCCTCTTTCTCAGGCAAACTACAACTATGGGCAACCACATGGGCCGGATTATGGGCAATCTCATCCCTATCACCAGCCACCTCATGGACAGAATTATGGGCCTGGGTACAACGACATGAAGTATTCTAGTCAAATGCCGACCCAAAATCAGTATGGAGGACAAGGGATGCCTCAGCAGATGGCATATCCTCAAGGTGGTTCACATCAAGGTTACAGTGGACATGATCAATATGGTAAACCTCCATCATATGGTATGCATCCACAGGCATCTCATGTCCAACATTACAGCCAGCCTAGGGCTAACCAGCCTGGTGAAGTCCCTTACCAGGCCCCCCCTATGGTTTCAACTCAAGGATATGGCATGAATATGCCACCTCAGCAACAGTACCCTTATGCAGCTACTGGGCCTATGCAGCAGCAAACTTATCCCCCATATGGTTCTGCACCTGCCAGTGATGGTTACACCCACCCACAACCACCTACAACAGCACCGGGTCCTGTTTATCCTCAGCAAGGGGCTCAGCCTGTATCTGGGTATGGTCAGCCTGTTGCGCAGCAACCCCCTGCATATGCTCAAGTTGGGCAACAGCCTGCTGCTTATGGTTCATATCCTTCGCAACCGGCTGACAACAGTGCAGGTTATGGGTATCAGGCACCAGCAGATCCTTCTTATGCTAGCACCCAGTCTACAGCAACTTACAATGCACAGTCAACAGGTCAGCAAGGTTATGCTCAACCAGCTCCCACTCAAACTGGCTATGATCAATCCGTTGCTCAGCAAGGTGGTTATGTAAGTCAACCTACACAAGCGGCAGCGGGTTACGGGAATAGTGTATGATCTCACCCTGGTTGTCCTATATACGATTCAGGCATATGGTGTGCACCATGCTCTAATTATCTGATGGGAGTTGGCCATGAGAAATTAGCTGCCTGTGAGATTAGCTTGCAACTTCTTGCATCTGTGTCAATTAGGATCTACTCTACTCTGGGAAGGAATGACGCTAATCTTCTGTTGTAGTTTTCCTTTTACCCTAGCGGCTAGGTTATTTCCTTCCCATTTTACTTTGATTTAGCTGTCATAAGTCATTATGTAATCCTTACTACACTTATGAGGATATGTTAACATTTTGTTTGGACCTGCTTTCTTGCTTTAATTTTATAAGCACATTTTTCATGAACTTTTCCACCTTCAAGGTGTGTTCCAAATCCTTCTTCTATTCCTCTTAATAAGATTGATTGACAGAATCAATATCATTTTCAGTCTCTTGGTTGGTTGTAATGGAATTTTTATTTTTAGTTATAAGGTATTTTTAATTTTTTTTCTTGACTTTTTAAATAAATTAATAGTATTATTATCATTATTTTTCTTTTAAATACATGACATATGTGTGCTGAAAGGCTTGGACAAATCATCTGGAAAGCTGTCTCAGATAAGAGGTGGAAACGAATCAAACTTGCTTGCCAGGTATGGACCTCACTTTCGCTGGACCTCACTTTCGCACTTATTTTTTGTTGATGATCCGGTGTTATTTGCTTAAGCTTTGCAGGACCAAGTAAACGTTATTAAAGATTGCTTAGACATACTCAGCATGGCTTCGGGCAAGAATGGAAGTCTCAAGTCTGCAACAATGAGATTGCTGTTAGGCCTATTGGCGATGCTTGGGATTAACCGAATGACAAACCTATATCTTGGGGTGCCTTCACTTCATGGGAGAGTGGCGAACAATTTTTTCACACACCTGATTGATAAAGTTAATGCTTGGCTGGATGGGTGGAAAATGAAGCATCTGTAGTTATGTGATACAGTTGATACACTCCTTCCTAGAGGTATATGTGACGTGGCTGACAACAGGAAAGTCACGTAGTAGGTGTACGAACAATGAACTTGTCGTTTCTTGCAAAGCTGGGTTGGAGGCTCTTGACAAGCTGTGGACTTAGGTGCTCTGTACAAAATACACCGGGCCCAAACGGGGTTCGAGCAAGTTAGTGTCGAGACCTATTCAATCCAACGCCCTCAGCTCACACTGGTTAAGGATGAAATTAGAACGCCCTCAGCTCACACTGGTTAAGGATGAAATTAGAATGAATGTCAACTCGAGAGAGAATAGGTTCTGGATGGATCAATGGACAATAAGCCCCTTTGTGATAGCTTAGTGGCCAACATTACTGAGAGTGGCGGGCTAGTGCCTAGTGGGAAGTGGGAGTGGGATGGAAATGGCATGAAACTCAGTACCTACTCCGGGATGATACCTTGAGAAAGCTCCAGATAGATAGATGATGAAGATCAATGAGAGCAACAAGGAGAAGGATGAAGCTCTCTGGTTGATGGAAGGGTTGGGTAAGCTCTCTGCAAACTCAATGGTACTATATTAAAGGAGACAATGCGGTTTTACAGGATCCTAGCCAGAAACAGATATGGATAGGTTGATGGGTTTTCCTCATAGGAATGGGTATGAAAGTGATTGTTATTGTTTGGTTGATAGGTTTTTAGAACATTACTATGAGTTTTGAATACCCATCAATTGAAAAATTCATACCCAAATAAAATAAGGGTTTCATTCTCTTATTTATTCTTAAGCACTAGTATTAGTAACCATTCTCATTCCACCCTATTACCAAGCATATTAAATACTTTCACCAAAACCCATTACCATTACAAGTATTTGATACCCATAATGATTCCGATTCCCATGTGCGAACCAAATACACCGATATATTCTCATATGATGTGCTTTCAATTGGTTTACATGTACATAAATGGTTAATAATAGGTTAGGTAGAAAATGTGAAGGTTATTTTTGGATTAAGGTTTACAATGTTAGGTAGACTCTAGTCCATAGTATAATTTGAGGTAGGTTGGAGCTTAGTAATTTGGAAGAAACTTTTTTTTTTTTTTTTAATACTAATGACTTTATTAGTAGTATCTGTTCGTAACTGCTTTCTCAACTAAATGAAGCACAAAAAGTCAATATCACTTTCACTAAGGCTCGAACCCACAACCTCCCTTATGAGGGAGCAACTTGATGTCATTGGACCACAAGGTCCTTGGGGAAAGAAATTGATTTTTTTTTTTTTAAGATTTTAATCTGAGACAACAAGATATACAATTCAATTATACATTATATATAAGAATTATAACTAATAATTCCAACCACAAACACCAGGGAATGAAAATTAAAACCTCAAAACAAGGGGGCACGTAGTTTAAAACTCAGAATCCTAATTTCCTACACAAGAATTCATGCAGCAACTGCAAATAGCTCTTAGAAGGTTCTTCTTTTGGCAACCTCAGAGCCCGAGCAATCTCTTCAAACCCCGCCTGCTGCTTTAGATACCCTGAATTTTCAACAACGTTGTAGCTCATCTCCTTGTTTTGCTGTTTTGGCTTTGTCAATGCCCATTGCATTGCCCAGATTGCCAGTGGCCTCATGTAACACAGCGATCTGTACCGGTCATCGGAGTTCCATCCCTCTGGCGTTTGGAACGCAAATCTATTCTCACAGAACAATCCGTTAATGTTTCGTTTCAACTAAAAGTTTAAACTGACGGTGAGACTACTACAAATTTATATTTTGGGGGTATTTGGTAAATAGCTGTTAGCTGATTCGATCAGTGAGTTTGACTAGTTGATAAATTAACTGATTGTAGAAAAGTGTTTGGTACTGTTAGCTGATTCAAAAAGTTGATCGAAAAAGCTACTTTGAGTAGTTTTTTGAATTTTAGCATTTTGGAGCAATACGTTGTTACAAAAAAGTTAATTAATCAAACACTCATATTGATTGTTTAACCAAGTTAAATAGCTAATAATGGTCAAATAAGTCAAAATTGGCTAATAGGCTAACTATTTGGTAAAAGAGGGCTTTTATATGTTATGTGCCCAACACAACTTGTTTAGTACTATGTTTCGAAAACTTTGAGATATTCATCTGACTGCTACAATGTAATGCAGGTAATGCCAATTTCATGTCTTTCTTGCAGGAAATGAAAAGAAGTGAAAGGATTTATTACTTACCCCAGGCCTGTTTCAGACCAGACTGTTCCATGGATGCCACTTGCAGTATGAAATGCCATTTCCACAAGCCCTTCCTGTATCATAGCAGCAGCTAAAGAATACGTAACTCCTGTCCATATTTCTCTCGACTGCATTGCCGTTTTATCCACCTTCCCGTTTGGCAGCATCCCGTTTACTGCCCCACGCGTCCCTCCTTTGAGTTTCAACACGTTGAAGTCGTAAATTTTCTGTAGAGCACTTCTGATCTTCTCTTCACTCGCGATAGGTGAAAGCCCGCTTGCACTAGCATACCTGTGAAGTATCAAGAACAGAAGAGCTGTTGGGGTTGGAAAAAGTTAAGGTTGGATTGGCTTAACTGTCACATAGGAATAGAATCAGTGTTGCAAAAATTCCGCCTAGACACCGATTAATCGGCGCCTAGCGTATCACCGGTGGTCTAGGCGGTTGGCTGGCTAGGCGGCCGACTAGGCCGCTTAAGCGCCGCCTAGGCATTGACTAGGTCGCCTAATTGGCCGATTAGCTATTGTTCATTTCTTTTTTAAATGGGTTATTTCACTCAAAACAGCATCGTTTTGATTGAAATAACCCTAAATTTTTCAAACATCTGTATTAAATAGTTTATAATTATCAAGGCTTAAAAAAATAAAAATTTTAAACAAATTTTTAAAAAATAAAAAATAGGTGCCGATTAATCGCTGCCTATGCGCTAGGCGCTCCCCGAGCGTCCGATGAGAGCCTAGCGATTTTTTCAACCATGAATAGGATAGTAGACACATACCATTGGCCTGCCAGTTGATCAGCTTGAATTGAAGAACTTGATGATCTGCCACTGTTATCGTAGTTGAAGTACGAACCATTCCATAACGTGTCGTATGCAGCCTTTGCCTTTTGAAACCGGAGCCAGAGGTAATCTGCAGCTTTGAGATCATCAACTTCTCGAGCCAATGCTGAGGCGGCTTGAAGAGCAGCCACCCAGAGCCCACCACAATAAGCACTCACGCCCTTAACGGTCCAAGCATCATATGTCTGATCGGGGAATCCTTCGTTCTCAATCATGCCATCGCCATCCTTATCGAACTGGTCCATGTAAGCCACTGCCAGGTACACTGATGGCCAGACAGCTCGAGCAAACTCTTTATCCCCGGTGGCATAGAAATCCCTATAGACCTGAAGAATAAACTTAGAGTTCAAGTCTTTCCATCTGTCCGTGTTGAAGAAGTTGTATGCGTTCACTTCAAACCACGGGTCGTTGAGTCCAATATCATGAGGAACAGCTCCAAGAGCGTTCCATCGCTCAGGACTCCCATTTTAGAAGGGTCATGCATCATAACCGCCATTGCAAAGTCTCTCTGGATGCTCAGCTCGAGTTTCGGGAATAGCATAAGCAGCGCGTAAGAGGAATAGAAGTGGACATCATAGGTGTTCCACATGTGATATTCAATCCCTTCGAGATAGAGGACCTGACCGACGTTCTCCTCTCCATCTCGAAGCAGGTAAGTGCCAAACGCGGAGTTTGATGCTACGGGTGAGTTCATTTTATCAATTGTATGTTTCATCCTCTCGAGTAAGTTGACATGAATGTTATCAGTTCGACTGCCACTACTATAAACCATCTCGGATTTTGGCTTCTCTAAACTAAATTTCCTTTCTCCAATCGTTGCAATGCTTTGCATAGGTAAAGAGCCATCTGTGACCAAAAAAAAAAGGGTATTGTCAATGTTGAAAAAATCGCTAGGCGCCTGGGACCGCCTAGAACGCCTAGGCGGGCGCCTATGCGCGATTTTTGCAACACTGGGTATTGTAGAACATATCGTATAATAACAGATTTCACTTTCGAAATTTACCTGTCCAGATTGTGCCCCCCGCATTAAGGTAATATAGCTCGTTGAAAAGAGTGACACGGTACCTGAGGAGAAGATTTTGAGACTCGAAAGTAATTATAAGGTTCGAGGAATTGAACTACTAAAAACATTTAGCAAAAGAATTGTCTGCACTGAACCATTCTGGGAGTGTTTGGTCTTCAAGTATCTCCTTTTGCCATTCTTCAATCTCGTCCTCCCAGTTGGCGTGTTCTAAGATTAAAGACAGCCCAACAGGCAACATAAACATATGCCACACAGTTCTTACGAATCCTAGATAACTAATGGCAGGGTCATTTGAGTCGTTCATTCGCAATTACCT